ACCAGAGGACACTACGCCGAGGCAGAGAGGCACGGCCTCACCTGCAGGCCACTGGCCCCGTTCGCTGGTCTGAAACTTGGCTGAAACTGGCTGGTTTTGTGAGAGAGAAACACTGTAGCGGCTGGTTGATGAATAGTGTTTGCTGAGGGGGATCAGCCGGCTGGTCTGGACCATCCAGACTAGCGAACGCGCCCACTGTCTATTGTGGATCCTTCTTAGGATTGGTCGTTTTACTGAAATAAGTTTACTTATTTTCATGCATGTCTGTCTCTTAAAGTTGTCCAAGTACATGTTTTACTATAAATTGAGTTATCCAAAGGAAAAAAATACTAATAACAGGTATGTCCATTACGCAGCTATTGCACATCTGGTCTTCCTAGCGATATAACTGTGGTAGTCGGGGAGCAGTCTTTCCATCTTCACAAGGGTAATCTTCCACCATAATGATTCATGCAGCTGTTTCTTTGTTTGACACCATTTTTCATTTTTCATGCGTGCAACTGGTTTACTAATTTCTTTGATTTTGGGTGGCTATTTCAGTTCCCTCTGTTGTCAAAAAGTGGTCTGTTGGAGAAGCGTATAGTATCCTGGAGAAAATCGATAAAGGGGAAGACACAGTTGGGTCATTGATCTATCTGATATTCCTGGTGGAGCAAAGGCTTTTGAACTAGCTGCTATGTTTTGGTATGGTGTAAAGTTTGAAATTAGGGAATGCATCCAGGTGTTGTGTGTGTGTATCACTAACGCATTTATCAATAAGAAGAAAGGTGCTCTTTGGTTCAGTGAGTGATAATGCAATGGGAAATGGAATCAGATAATAGTGTAGTCGAAGCTAGGGATGCTTGGTTGCCAGCTATCTTTATATGGAAATGGATACAGACCGTAGGAAGCAAACAGGTGTAAAGGTAATGTATACGTTACATTTTTTGCAAACCAAACAGCTCGAAAGATGCATAGAGTTTGTTCTGTGCTAGCTTTATCAAATTAAACACATGTATTATATCCGAACTTCATCATTCCGTACAACTTTATTCTGCACAAAAGTATAAGAGGCCGGGCATTGTTCTAGTGCCATATATTATTATACATAGTTTGGACTCCCCTTCAAGGGCATCAATACAATACAATACAATACAATAATGTAACATATTATTCTTCGGATTCGGAATCCTCATCATCATCAGAAGAAGAATCTTCGTGTTTATCTTCTCTGGCTTCCTCAGGTTCGTCTCCTGGTCTCTCATGTTGCGGGGGACATTGGGGGTACCAAGGGCACACGGGGGGCCATGATGGGCCATAGTATGGAGGGCACACGGGGGGGGGTATGATGGGTGGTAGTACGGAGGGCACACGGGACAGCACGGAGGCAGAGGCGCAGCCATCGGCGGAGCCAGAGGCTCCTCCTTCAGCGGAGGCCAAGGCTTCTTCAGCGGAGGCGGAGGCTCCGGCTTCGGCTTTGCTTTATCAGGCTTCGGCTTTGGTTCTTCCGGCCGAGGCGGCGGCGGTGGCTTTGCAGGCGGGACGATGTAGATGTTCTTTGCTTCTCCAATGCAAAACGGGCCAGCATGTTGGATAAGCATCCACAGCACGGTGGTGAGGTCGCCACCGGCGCTGAGCTGCTGGGCATGGGCTTCCCTGCTGCACCGGACGGCCGCGTACACCAGCTTATCCACCCACACATTGAAGATGATCTCCAGCATCTCATCTGGTACCAGCGGAGGAGACCACGGAGCAGCTCCGCTTTCTACAGTAGGTCGCTTGTCGCCTGATAGGTAAAAATAAAGGTCTACTGCATGCACGAGAAGTCACGAGTTTGTTCTTGTTGGAGTATTTTGCAGGATGATTCACATGATCAAGAGCAAGTTCATTTGATTGTCTTCATCTTACTCCACTCGTGGATGAGAAGGACATATGCCGACAAACCCGCTCTGAGAAAGATCAATCAATATCCAACAATCGACCACGGCAACATTGAGCATCCCCGTGTATCTAGCTAAGTATTTTCTTTCTTTAGTTTTTCTATTAGTAAGTTTGCTTTATATTAGCTAAAGAAATAAAAAGATGCATAACAAAATAAAAAATTATCTTAGCCAGTTATATATATATATATATATATATTAAGGTGTGATCTAAAAAAAATGATGAAAACAAAATAAAAAGTATGTCTAGTCTAAGTTTTCTACTTTTAAGAGTTGAATGAATAAAAGGACTCTGAAGATAATCTCTTACAATGAAAATGATGAATAGTTGCTATGTCGTAATTCCTTTCAAGTACCTAGTTTTTAGCCTTGAATTCTTCCGAGTTTTGGATAAGACTGTTTTGATATAAGAATTTACTCTGAACTTGAAACTCGTGGGTAGCATATGCTTGATCTAAGTTTAGGAAGTTGACGGATATGATATGAGAAGGTCTGAGCTGCTATTTATATTGGTTCAAGTGATACTAGAGTTCTGGAGATTTATCTTTTAAAAAATATAAAAATGGTTCATGATGAGTTCCTTGTATGACAAAGCTTGAATTTCTACTAGAGCCATAAATGATATTTAGACTAGGAAAATTTCCACTTATATATGTTGCTTGCTTTTGTATTGAGTTTAGTCAAACTTTATTGACCCATATGAGAGGTTTGTCATACTCTTAAAATCAAGATCACGTACACACCACCCACATATGCACAACTCCTACAATTGGGGTAGGCGCAAAAACATACATTCCATTTGGATCCACTCAAAACTATTTTACTCCTACACTAGGAGTGAACACAAAAAATATACCCTATAGGATATCCCAAAATAAATGCTCCAAAGTTCTTGTTCCTACCTCTCAAAAGTTTTGTTGCGGAAAAAGAAGCATGTGGCTATGCAAAAGGTATTAAAAAAAGAGTATTGAAAAAATAGACAAGTGTCCGAGATATCTAAAACAATGGGTACTCAGATGCCCGCTTGAAAAAAAGAGAAGAAAGAAAGTGATGAATAAGATAGCACATGTTTTCTTACAAGGTTATGTTTCCAAATTCCAGAAAAAGAGATAAGTTTTCAAGGAGCAAAATAGAATTAGGTTAGCCACCATATATATACCATACATTCACACACATGCACATCTTGATTTGATTGTATGACTCAACTCTCTTTGGATCCGAGGATTGACTTTACAATATATGTATTGCAAGTATGCTCTTTCATGTTTTTTCCACTCCTATGAGCTCCGTATAAGCTTTAGTTGTAGGAAGAGAAAGGCATAACATCACAATTGCCTTTGGTAAGAATCCCCAAATACCACATATATTGAGAGACTTGAGAGTGTCATACAATGGAAGCTCTGAGTTTTATTTTGAAAACTTACAAAAACTGCGGAATACTGGTTAAACAAAGAACTTGAGACATAGTGCATGACTTGATCGTTCTGTCTTTCGATTGCTCAAGACTTAAGTGAAGGCTAAGAACCCCATGGTTGAAAGTAATATGGGTGAGTTTGAAAGTCAGATCGGTTTATTCTAATCCGGAGGAGAATTCTTATTTGAACGCATGTGTACTTTTGAGGAGTGAAAGTATTGAAGCCCTCCTGATCCATTTTGCTGAGTTTAACTTTGCTAAAGGACTAGCAAAGGCTAAGCTTAGAGGAGCTTGTTGATGGTAGTTAATAACTATTATAAACCGTCAAAGAAACATGAATAAGGGCATAAATATGATCACCAACAAAGGTTTAGGGGTTTAAACTAATAAATTCCACGAGTTTTGGTGAATCTGTATTTTCTATAGGGTTTAACCAGAAAACCGTCAAGGTGGACCTACATGTCAGATTTAATTGCGCTTATCCGCCACGAAACGGACACCAGAAGGTTTTAGAGGATACCAGAGGACACAACGCCGAGGCAGAGAGGCACGGCCTCACCTGCAGGCCACTGGCCCCGTTCGCTGGTCTGAAACTTGACTGAAACTGGCTGGTTTTGTGAGAGAGAAACACTCTAGCGGTTGGTTGATGAATAGTGTTTGCTGAGGGGGATCAGCCGGCTGGTCTGGACCATCCAGACTAGCAAACGCGCCCACTGTCTATTGTGGATCCTTCTTAGGATTGGTCGTTTTGCTGAAATAAGTTTACTTATTTTCATGCATGTCTGTCTCTTAAAGTTGTCCAAGTACATGTTTTACTATAAATTGAGTTATCCAAAGGAAAAAAAAATACTAATAACAGGTATGTCCATTACGCAGCTATTGCACATCTGGTCTTCCTAGCGATATAACTGTGGTAGTCGGGGAGCAGTCTTTCCATCTTCACAAGGGTAATCTTCCACCATAATGATTCATGCAGCTGTTTCTTTGTTTGACACCATTTTTCATTTTTCATGCATGCAACTGGTTTACTAATTTCTTTGATTTTGGGTGGCTATTTCAGTTCCCTCTGTTGTCAAAAAGTAGTCTGTTGGAGAAGCGTATAGTATCCTGGAGAAAATCGATAAAGGGGAAGACACAGTTGGGTCATTGATCTATCTGATATTCCTGGTGGAGCAAAGGCTTTTGAACTAGCTGCTATGTTTTGGTATGGTGTAAAGTTTGAAATTAGGGAATGCATCCAGGTGTGGTGTGTGTGTATCACTAACGCATTTATCAATAAGAAGAAAGGTGCTCTTTGGTTCAGTGAGTGATAATGCAATGGGAAATGGAATCAGATAATAGCTAGTGTAATCGAAGCTAGGGATGCTTGGTTGCCAGCTAGCTTTATATGGAAATGGTTACAGACCGTAGGAAGCAAACAGGTGTAAAGGTAATGTATACGTTACATTTTTGCAAACCAAACAGCTCGAAAGATGCATAGAGTTTGTTCTGTGCTAGCTTTATCAAATTAAACACATGTATTATATCCGAACTTCATCATTCCGTACAACTTTATTCTGCACAAAAGTATAAGAGGCCGGGCATTGTTCTAGTGCCATATATTATTATACATAGTTTGGACTCCCCTTCAAGGACATCAATACAATACAATACGATAATGTAACATATTATTCTTCGGATTCGGAATCCTCATCAGAAGAAGAAGAATCTTCGTGTTTATCTTCTCTGGCTTCCTCAGGTTCGTCTCCTGGTCTCTCATGTTGCGGGGGACATTGGGGGTACCAAGGGCACACGGGGGGCCATGATGGGCCATAGCATGGAGGGCACACGGGGGGGTATGATGGGTGGTAGTACGGAGGGCACACGGGACAGCACGGAGGCGGAGGCGGAGGCTTCGGCTTTTCTTCCGGCTTCTTTTCTTCCGGCTTCGGCTTCGGCATTTTTTCCGGCTTCGGATCTTTTGGCTTCGGCTTCGGCTTCGCTTCATCCTTCTTCAGCGGAGGCCGAGGCGGCGGCGGTGGCTTTGCAGGCGGGACGATGTAGATGTTCTTTGCTTCTCCAATGCAAAACGGGCCAGCATGTTGGATAAGCATCCACAGCACGGTGGTGAGGTCGCCACCGGAGCTGAGCTGCTGGGCATGGGCCTCCCTGCTGCACCGGACGGCCGCGTACACCAGCTTATCCACCCACACATTGAAGATGATCTCCAGCATCTCATCTGGTACCAGCGGAGGAGGAGACCACGGAGCAGCTCCGCTTTCTACAGTAGGTCGCTTGTCGCCTGATAGGTAAAAATAAAGGTCTACCGCATGCACGAGAAGTCGCGTACCTTCGTTGCCTCGAATTTGATCCCTCAATTGTAGCTCAGTCGCCTCGGGCTCCACGATCCTTACGCGTCGCAGGATCATGGCAAGTTTTTCTTTGTTTTTCATGTTTGATTTTTCTCGATCGGGTAGTATCTTACTACGCTCACCCCCATCCCATATTTCAACCAGTTTCTTGCGGGTTACCTGCAACTGGCTGTGGAGGACAAGGCCAGGTAGCATTTGTCGGCGAACAGCAACAAGGAACATCATGTATTCCGACATCACCTCAATTGCCCACGCAAGTATTCTTCTTCTTCCTTTCTGTCCGTGTCGGATGTAAATGAAGACCAGGACCATGCAGGTGGCGATATGCCACAAGAGGACGTCCTCCTCGAATTCCTCGCCGAATAGATACACATTCGTCTCGTTTTGACTTCCTCTAAGGCCTTGTGGCCCCAGCGTGTCCTGATGTCCAACCTGGTGTACATCTTCTTCTCCTCCTCCTCCTTCTCCTGACCAATTTGTTTTTCCTCAGTATTAATGGCCTGCTGCAATATTTCCGTCACTCGCTCGAACAGCACTTTCTTTACGCATTGAGGAAGCTTAGACAGATACCCCAACTCCTTGGGTCTGTCGTCTCCAGGCATGGACACCGGCCACCACTCTGGACGAGTCGTAGGGGTGGCAGTGCACTCGTCCAGCAAGTTGTACCGGCCGATGGTGCCCGACCACCGCCTGTGGCTGACCGGATCGCGACAGAATAGCTGCAACGGGTCCAGGCGGACGACGATGCGGTGGATGCTGCACCACCATCTTCTTCCGGCGGCCTGGAAGTAGGAGTACGCCCATGTCGACCCGAGGGCTCTCAGCAGCCATGCCACATCCATGAGGAAGGTAATGGCCAGCAAGGCGTAGGTGATCCCGACAAAGGATCCCCTGACCCTGTGGCCATCATCGCCCTGCTGCTGCTTATCAGGATGAAGCCAGAAGCAGAAGAGAAATGTGGCAGCAGCAGTGAAGAGGGGCGACAACAAGCGGATGAGGTAGTAGTGCCAGGTGTGTGCCAGGATCGCCTTGGTGTAGAGGAACTCGTAGATGAGGGACAGCTCCATCTCGGCCACCTTGCACATGCTCTCCCAGTCCCACTCCGAGAGTATCATCTCGCTGGCTTCCTGCCTTGGTGAAATAGAAGCTGGATCGACAGAAGAATCGACCAGGGCATGGCGCCAGATGGGGAACAGATCTTGAGCAAGGAGCAGCGCTTCTCCGTCGCGGAGCGACCGCCCCTGCCTCTTCGTCCTCTTGATTCTGCATTTCAGCATCTCAAAGTCGTCCTTGCTGCTGCTTGACGAGGCGTCCTCCTGCATGCTGTCCAAGTTGGCTTTCCGTAGGGCGTTCGCCCTCTCCACGTACCTGACGGCGCCGGCGACAAGCATGACGACGGACGCCGCGAGCAGCAGAGCCCAGCTGCGGCCGCCGCGATGTGTGTTGTTGCAGATGGTATAAATGACCCCCAGAATCCGAACGAGTATCTCAAGCCATTTGCGGTTGGAGATCTTGTTGTCCTCCAGAGCGTAGGCGGTCAGGTTGTCCGGGCCGCCCAGGTGCAGCAGGAGGAACGGGGCCCAGAACGCGACCACCTGCTTCTCCTCCTCCGACGCATCGGAGCCGCAGAGGGACAGGCTGCCGAGTGCGCTCGTCGTCGCTGCCTCAGCGACCTGGTACGCAAGCCAGACGACCAACTTAGCCACCTCGCCTAGTAACGCCCACAACCAGCGGGGCGCCGAGCGCCGCCGTGTCCCGGACAGGATGCCGACGACAAGATTTGCCCCTAAGCTCGAGACGACAGCGATCCGGAACCCCCATTCGCTCCACCACTGCAGCGACTGTGCCAAAATCATGGTCAGGATCATTCCGAGCCAGAACATGGTCGATCCACAAGAGCGGGCGGCCTTCCAATTAAGCTGCCTGCGACCTGCTGCACCCATATATATATATCAAACTACAGCATGAGACCTGCTGCATTGACTTTCTCCTTATTATTATCAGTGAAAAGAGATACATGAATCTATATGCATATACCGTGTGGCCGGGCCGGCTGCTCCCCAGATCAATCAGTCAATATATGCAACTGATAGTATATCTACATTCGTTTTGTAATAATATACTACAATAATAACAGGCTATCGTTTAGTCGATGCAACTGATAGTATAAAAGTTGACATGTCATGTAAACACAAATTAAATGTGATATAGCCCACTAGTTACATATATATACTCCATTTGTCCCAAATTACATGTCTGTTTGGCTTTTTCTAAGTTTATAGCTTTTACTATGAGGATCCTTGGAGGACAAGATTACAACTAACCTGGAGAAGAACTTCATCAGGCTTCAAGAAACTATGGTCGGTAGCTAGTCGATGAATTCCCTGAGACAGGAGTAGGCCTGACCGCATCGATCATGGCAAAGGGGATCCTGCGATAGATCCTGGGAAACAATAGGGAAGCATCCGAGAGAAGAAGGCTACAATTAATAACCCGTACGACTTCAAACTTCAGTAGATGCTGCTCCTGATAAGCACGGAACCATCCTTCTGGACCAGGCGACGAAGCAACCAAGAGCCAGTTTTGTTCACTTCATTTTGCCAAAATTTTCAAAGATTCTCCGTCACATCGAATCTTTGGACATATGTATGAAGCATTAAATATAAATAAAAAATAAAACTAATTACACAGTTTAGACGAAATCCACGAGACGAATCTTTTAAATTTAATTAAACTATGATTAGACACTAATTACCAAATAACAACGAAAATACTACAATAGTATTTTGTCAAAAATTTTGCCAACCAAACAGGCCCCAAGAAGAGACAGAAGCATGTGGACTGGACGAGTGGTTGCGGCGACTTGACCTGAGACGAAGATATTTATTTTTCAGGACCACCACACACCAACCGAGTCGCATCGCACCTCTGTTTTTCTCTCTGTTTTTCAGGACCACCACACACCAACTTTATTACTCTGTCCCTGCCCTGTTTACGCACTCTGTTCATCAGCTAGCGGGCTGCTAAATGGAAGCAACGGGGGAAGTTTTGTGCACTTGTTGAAAGAGACGCCAACGTGCGTGTTCAGTTTCACCCAAAAATCTTAAAAAGTGCTACAGTACTTGTCACATCGAATGTTTGCGGCCTATGTATGGAGCATTAAATATAGACGAAAAAAAACTAATTGCACAGTTTGGTAGGAAATTGCGAGACGAACGTTTTGAGCCTAATTAGTCCATGTTTGAACACTAATTGCCAAATAAAAACGAACGTGCTACAGTAGCCCCAAATTCCAAATTCCTGGAACTAAACACGCGCAAGAGCGTCAGTCAGGCTGCGGCTCTCGGTGAGGGGACGGCGACGGCGTGGCGCTCGGACTCTGGTCTGTGGAGCGGAAGACGGCGGCGGCGATTTCACCGTGGCAACCTCTTGGCAGGACATGGGCTACGATGGGCCTTGACCCTTGAGTTTGTGCGCCGCTTGTATGTCATTTGAAAAAAAAATGGCAGAGATACGGTTGGATTAGCAGCGGACGGTACAGATGACCTAACCCTAGGATGACGGACGGTACAGATGACCTTTATTGGTATAAGAATGGCTTGTTGAATCGGATATATGACAGCCTCTACTCTTATGTGTATAGCCGTGATGGAATTGTGCTATTGGGTTCCTATATCTGTTTGCCGAGTGAATCTAATGGTCCTAACTTGTTAGACGAACCTTTGAATGGCTTCATAATGAACCTTACCGACCTTCCTTGATAGTGGGTTAAGAGGCTCGTGACCTCGGGCGAAAGGGTAAATCACGACTCACAGTGAAAGTGTACAATCTCTGCAGAGTGTAAAACTGGTATATCAGCCGTGCTCACGGTCACGAGCGGCCTTGGAACCCTTACAAAATAGATGATGAACACTGATAATACTGATGATGAAGATGCTCACTAATAATTACTATTTATGCTATTCATTATTCATGTTTACCTGATCATGTGTTTATATGGCCTTGTGACTAAACTTGTTGCCACCCAATTGCTAAAAGATGACTCATTAAAAGCTAATCATGATTAAACCAGTGTCAGCCTTTTGAGCCTCATGAACCCCATGTTATATTTGCTGAGTACAACATGTGTTCACCCTTGCTATTTCCCCACACCTCTAGACTTTAGAAAAGTTGCTCCAAAGATTGATGGAGTTACGGAGGAGTTCCCGGAAGACTAATAGAAGTGCTAGGCATATGTTACCCCCAGTCAGCCATCCCTATGAAGAATGGAGCCTGAAGATTAGCTACCGTTCCGCGATACTCTGATGTAAGTACTAAATATGAGTATATTTCGTTATATAATAAAGCATTGTCTTTTGATACTATTGTAATTTGTCGCTATATGTCTGATTTGACTTCTTGGACACACATATAGTTAGTACTTAGATTTGTCTTTAAAACTGGGTGTGACAGCGCGGGCGTGGGTGGTCCCTGCCTGTGCGTGCAGCAGGCGCGGGCGCGGGCAGTCCTCTGCCTTGTGTGTAGCAGGCACGGGCGCCGGCGGTCCCTACCTGAGCGTGCAACAGGCGTGGGCGCAGGCGGTCCCCTGCCTTGTGTGCAGCAGGCGCGGGCGTGGGTGGTCCCTTGAAAGGTCCTTGTGTGGTTTTGGTAATTGAGTGACAACCTATGTGGATTAATTGTGTTTATGTGAGATACACAGGTGATTAGTCCACAGGTACATGTGTGTGAGCAACATATGCCATGGAGGTGGAAATGGCTCAGAGATATTGCAAAGCTCACACATGTGATGATGAAGGAGCTTATTGCACATGAGACATGACATTGAGTCATGTGATCAAGGTGGAGAAGATCAAGACAAGACTTGGCTTGATGAACCGGTTGCAAGCATGAAGGGCAAGTTGAAGGCTTTGGAGCGATGGACCGCATGGCGATGAAGCTTGAGCAAGACTTAGCGCCGATGGACGAAGGCAACTGTGAAAAGCAAGTGAAGTCAAGATCGATGAACCAATATGATCACGTGATGATATGAAGTGGATCATATCATTGTTGATCGTGTTGGTGCATGTGTTGCATCGACATTAGAGGAGATGGAATGGAATGCGCAAGGCAAAGGTATAACCTAGGGCATTTCATTTCACCGGTCATAGGTGTGTAGAGAAGTTTATGACCGGGTTTAGGATAGATGGCCGTACTATCAAGAGAGGCAAACTTGTTTGCATATCGGTCATCTAGTGCCACTTGAGTGATCTAACTTTGCATCATCGCTAGGATCGAGTGGCGTGGCAACTTGAGTGGCTAATCTTTTAGAAAATATTTGTGAAAAGCTAACACACATACACATGGTAATGTTCACTTGGTGGTGTTGGCACGTTTGTAAAGGAGAAGAAGTTGGAGTTGATGTGGATCAACTCGGTGAAGAAATGGAGGCGAAAGGCGATGCACTTTGTGTTTAGCACTTGGGAGGAAGGGTTCGGAACTTCACCGGCGGAGTGTCCGCCCATAGAGTGCGGATAGTCCGATGGTGCCACCGGCGCCCTATATAGAAAAGACAGGGTTTCACATAGTGCACTGGACGCTAGGGTCTACGTCCGGTTAGTGGCAGCAGTGAGCGTGCGGTCTTGGTCTCATGACCGGACGCTGGCACGAAAAGTGACCGGACGCTCAGGGCCTGCGTCTGGTCAGTATGACGTATGATGATGTAGGCGGCGTTGGTGTTGGAGCGCGGGCGTAGAACTGATCGGACGCTGGTCTATGTCCGATCATGGTGGACCGGACGCGTCCGGGCACAAAACAGAGGCTCGGGGAGCTCTCTGGAAATGACCGGACTCAGGCGTAGCAGCGTCCGGTCATCTCACTGTGTTGTGTCCGGTCATGACTTAACTATTGGCGTGAGACAGCCGACCGTTGAGATCCAGTGACTGAGGTTGAACGGAGGCGACACGTGGCGTGCATCCGTTGACCGGACGCTGGCAGGGTGCGTCCGGTCAATATGACCGGAGTGTCCGGTCACCCCGAGCTATGCCCAGTGAAGGGGTACAACGGCTCTATTTTCGTGGGGGCTATAAATAGAAGGGGTCTCAGCCTTGGGCTGGTTGCTGAGCACACTAGAGCCTTGGTGGCTTATGTGGTGGTGCTTGGGAGCACTCTAACTCACTCTGGCTTGATAGTGTTCATCCGATTGAGTAAGTGAGCGATTCTAGTGCGATTGCATCGTGAGGTTGTTTCGAGTGGCACTAGGTGATCGTGTTGCAAGCCGGTGGTGCTTGTTACTCTTGGAGGTTGCCATCTCCTAGATGGCTTGGTGGTGGTCTCCGTCGAATCCCGCAAGAAGATTGTGCGGTGCTCCGGAGAAGAGCTTTGTGAGGAGCATTGTGCTCGCCCCACGGGAGACGCGAAGAGAAACTCTAGTTGAGCGTGTCATTGAGCTACCCTCACTTTTGGGGTAGGTTCTTGTGGTGTCCAACGTGCGGCCTTGGTGGGTGATGCCAATTAGCCGCCAAACCACCAAGTGAGCGGTCGACACAACGGGGACGTAGCGTGTTAGCAAGCATGTGAACCTCAGGAGAAAATCACCGTGTCAACATTGTTCTTCCCATTGGTTTGCATCCTCGTTACACAAGCTTGTAATTACTTTCATATACATTGTGCTTGTGTAGTTGCTTTTGTAATTAGTTTGCTTGTGTAACTCAGTAGTTACCTTCTTGCTTGTGTAGCACATAAGCTGCTCCCTTGCGTGACTAATTTGTTTGTGTAACCTTGTTAGTCACATTGCTTAGTTTGTGTAGCTAAGTAATTGCGCTCTCTAATTTGGCATTGGTTGCCTTGTTATTGAACATTGCTAGTAAGCTTAGGTGGCTTTGTGCTTTTGCTTACTAGCATGTGT